ATTGTTAGCCGACACTGGTCAGCTTGTACATAATTGAATAAATAGAGCTGTTTAAACATTTGTTTAACAACGAGTTAAAGCTTGGAATGGTCTGTTGGTTCGATTTTCGATACCTCACTACTATAAAGGCTTGGTTTCGTTTGATATTTCATTGGTGGTGGTGTCCAGGGTCACTGATGAGGAGTGGAATTCTCCGAAACTAGTCTGGCTCACAGATACCCCCCCCCCCCCTCCAATGAAAGAATAGACCATTCCAAGCTTTTACTTGTTGTTAAAAAAATGTTTAAACAACGATATTTATTCAATAAACATATGTTATCTTGTCCAAGCCGTCCCTTATTTCAGCTGATAAACAAAAGACACTGTAAGCATCTAGTCTACAGCACCAACTGCAAACTGATAGGATGTCATTATCTGACCAAGTAGGGCGATTTGACTGTCATTGTTAGGGAGCACTCACGGTTCCGAAGGGCGGAACGTGAACCCTGAACCATTGTATCCACAGCCTGGGCACGCTAACTGTCATACGCTACGCCCGGCCCCAAGAGTAAAAAAAAACTAGTTAAACGTGAAGAAAGATTTTGAATGACGAAGAGTGATGTTTCAATGAATTTTTAATTAGACGAGTTTGATAAAATTACTGCAAACCGTAACGCCCCCCAGTGGCATGTCTGCGGACTTACAACGCTATAAACCGGGTTCCGATACTACCCGCGGTGGGCAGAGCACAGATAGCCCATTGTGTAGCATTGTGCTTAATACAAACAAACAAATCACAGTTTTCATTAAACCAGCCCCTGAAAAAAAAAAATCAAGTTATTCAGATATTTATGCAACCTCTCCAGTAGTAAGCTAAAAAAAAAAGTTTTTACCCTGACAAATGATTGATGAGAAAGGTATTAATTTCATAATTTTATGATTGTATCGTAGAACACTAGTTTCCTTTCTTATTTCCCTTCAAACTTACGTAGGTGGCGTGTAATCGTTTTTACTGTTTGAGACTACTCGTGTTTGTACCTTTATTTTTAATGCACTATAAGAGGCACTGTTAACGAGAATAAAGATCGAATTTCAAGATCTTCCGCTTTGTAAGAGTTACTTGGAAAGTAAATAATCAAATAAAATGAACTTCCTAAAGAGGTTTTAGGTCCCACATCAATATACTAACGGAGAACAAAATATATCCATTACGTGTGTGGGAACCAATGGTGCTGAGAGTGCAGCAGCGCCCCCTGGTTTGTCGTGGTTCCTATCATATACAGAATTTTCGATTTTGTTCCTCGTTTTTCAATACTCCCACTACAGAAACTGTTCTATCGTCAAATGTTTAGTTTGGTTTGAATTTTAGCG